GCTCTTCTTGCCTTGATTGTCTCTGCTGAGAAATCTGAGGTGATTCTAATTGGTTTCCCTTTATAGGTGATTAATCTTTTCTCCATGACAGCTTTAAGGTTCTTTTCCTTGGTCTGAGTTGATCCTGTGTGGATTATAATGTGATGGTGGGATGTCCTATTCTGGTCTGGTGTATTTGGGGTTCTAAAGCTTCTTGTATCTGAATAGGCCTATCTTTTTGTATGTTTGGGAAGTTCTCTGCTAGGATCCTGTTAAACAAATTTTCTAGACCATTAAGTTCTGTTTCTAGGTGCTCCTCTACACCCATTATCCTTAGATTTAAATTTACTCTCTTGAAATATTCTTTGATGCTGGATCTAGTCCCCAAGATTGGAAATATTCTGTTTTCTATAATAGCACTACCTTCTAAAAATTCTCTGTATATGAGTATATTACATATGTTTGCTTCTTTGCACACAATAAATTGTCCCTTAAAATGATAGGGAATAAGCACACATTCTTAGGGGGAATAATTCCCATTCATATTTGCAGAAAGTAAATTTTATGATCACTCAATGCAATTTTCACAAAAATTTTCCTCTGTTTCTAATTGGTACATGTTGAGAATTTGCTTCCTCATCTTGGGAAAAAAAATCCTCAATGAAATATTAATAGTATTATTTTCTAGTTCATTCCTACTTTACCTCTCAACATAAAAATAAACATTAAACTAGTATTGCATAAAAGAGATCAGGTGATCTTCCTCTTTATTGTGGGACTCCTATGTGAAATGCTCAGGCAGATGTAGCATTTGAAAATTTGTCCTTGAAAATCTGCCAAGTAACCCTCATTGGAGCTTGGTTGCTGTAGATGACAACATGTTGCATTATATCCACCATCCATTAAATAAGACACCCAGGACATATCAGACTAAAAGTGGAAGTTCACAATGCTCTGAGAATCTTTGAGAATCCTTGCTCTAACAGTAGCTCTTTGGGAATCTTTAGAGTTATAGCTTTCTGGGAAACTTTTCTGAAGAGCAACCTGACAAAAATTCTTTGACTTTTACTTACTTCATAATAGTAAAAAGAATGCCTCCAGAGTGTAAAAATAACTACAAGTAGGAAAACAAATGTTTATTAGAGGGATGTTCAGCACTTTACAGAAACAGCATGTTATGTTTGTTAAAATATGAGATTTAACAAATTTTTTGGTTTATATTATCGGAAGAAGTTTGTTCTCACCAACCTTTTCTCACAGTAAGTAGTCTAAAGATGTTTGATTGGTTTGAAGACAGATACTGGAAGGGGAAACTCAGAGAACATAGTGAGGGGTAATATTGAACAAGAATCATTTTACTCTTAACAGAATTGTAAACTTTTTGTACAACTACTTAACAATAACAATCATAATAATAATGATGAGCCACAAAATTATATTGGATTTATGACTTTATTCACCCTAACACTTATTTTAAACATATATATGATTGTAATATATAAGGTATAGCATTTCTGTATTGCTTAAATGTCTTATAAAGCATTTACCACATTAAAGGAAAAGATTGGAGAAAGTTTCTTTTAGTTATGTCACTTGTAAATGTAATTTTATACCACTATTTAGAGATAATAATTAAATTTAAGCCATTCTGCACAACTGTATGATTCATTATAGGACAAGCTAGGGGACCTGAAAACTGCAACATCCAGGTAAAGACAACACATTTGGGACTCAATCGCTTGAGCTAAGTAAGGATCACACCTCACATCTCAACAGTGTCCATCAGCACACTATGAGAACCTGGAATAACACAGATGTGTCCAACTTCATCCTTATGGGGCTGACAGATTCTAGAGAGATGCAGCTGGCCCTCTACTTGCTGTTTCTCCTGATTTACCTGATTACTGTGCTGGGAAACCTCGGCATGATCATGATAATTTGTGTGGATCACCAGCTTCACACGCCCATGTATTTTTTCCTCACTCACCTCTCATTCATTGACCTCAGTTTCTCCAGTGTCATCACACCAAAAAGTTTAACGAACTTACTGACATCCAGCAAAAATATTTCATTCCTGGGCTGCTTCACACAGATGTACTTTTTTGCCTTGTTTGGAGGTGCTGAAATTTGTCTCCTCTCTGCAATGGCCTATGATCGCTATGTGGCCATCTGCAATCCTCTACAGTATCCTGTTATTATGTCCTCCAGATGCTGCTGGGCCCTCATTGCTGGCACTTACATGATTGGCTTTGTGGATTGTTCTTTCACTGTGCTCTCTATAGCCAGATTGCCCTTCTGCCGATCTAATGTAATTCTACATTTTTTCTGTGATGTATTTCCAATTTTAGCCCTGTCATGCAATGATACATACATCCCTGAAATTGTAGTATATATTATAGCTGGTTATACCCTGTTACTGTCCCTTCTCACAATGTCCTGGTCCTATGTGTCCATTCTCTCTACTATTCTGAAAATTAAG